GAGAGGGCCCGGCCCCCCCCGCGTCCCGGCGGTGTGGTAAGGAGAAGGGGGGGGGGGGGGCGAGGATGAGGTGGATGGGAAGGACGGTGGCAGGACGAAGAGGAAGAGAGGAGAAGTGTTATGCTGCATGATGATGGCTTGGTGAGTGACAGGGATGTTAGTAAGAAAAATAAAATAAATAAAATCTGGCCAAAACACGGCACTCAAACTCAGGGGGAAAAAAGGGGCCAAACCACAGATAAAACAGGAAGGCAACAAAAGGAAGATCCGAACAAAAAAAGCTGCACGAAAACACCAAAAAAAAAAATAAAAATAAAGGGAATAAATATATATATGTGTAATATATATAAAGAGGAAAATATACGTGTAAAAATATATCAAGGGGTTATGTTTAACGTCAGGTTTGTTGCCTACCTTCTTGGAAACCTGAATGAGAGATTTCTACAAAAAACAAAAGAGGGATAAAGAAAGAAAGACAAAAAAAATTGGATGTATAAAACGTACGCATTGACAACTTTACTGTAAAAAAGATAAACTGTCCTCAGGATTAAAAAAAAAATGAACAGACAAAACATCAGTATTCCTGCATAAAGTGAGTAAAGGTGAACCAATGACGTTAGAGGGATTTTAAAGCACGTCTGAATCTAAAACCTACGACGGAGTTAAAGGGCCATACCGACAAAATGAAACTAAAAAATTTACTTATGACAATAAAGTCGTAAAATAAAGAAATAAAATTACAAGGCATAATATTACCAGTTATAATATGAGAATAAAGTAATAAAATTACGAGAATAATGTCAGTTATACGAGAATAAAGTTGCAATAATAAAAGAGTAAATATGAGAATAAAGTCGTTATATTACTTCATTCTTGTGATGCCACGACTTTGTTCTCGTGTTATTTCGTTTTTATTTTGTACGACTTTGTTCTCGTAAAACTATGACGTTGTTCTTGTACAAGTTTATTTGATTATTTTTTTTAAATTTTAGAACTTTATTCTTGTAATTTTATTTCATTTTCTTGTAATACTACGATTTTAATTTCGTATTATTTCAACTTTATTCTTGTACGACTTTATTCTTGCAACATGTAATATTGTTTACCCTCAAAACTGACATTATTCTCATGCAAGTTTATTTTCGCAATATGGCTATTCTCAATTTTACGTCTTCATTCTCATAATTTTCTCATAATCTGATTTCTTTGTCATTTTCTTGCCGTGGCCCTAACACTCTGTCGTAGAAAGCCCTTCTGCTCTGCCTCAACAAAGCGAGATGAAACTCTCCTCCACATAACTCGGCCGTCCTGGTTATTCCTGAAATTAAGCGTTTGTGAGGTGAGAAGGTCAACCGTGCAGCAGAGAACAAAAACATTCCCATAAAAAAAAAAAAACACACACACACAGCAACAACCTCATCTGTAAACACACAGACAGAGACTCCAGAACAAGCATGGCGGTGATGGTTGGGTGCTGCGATTTCCTGCTTTCCTGACCGGGTTTGTGTGTGAGCGTGTGTGTCAAGGTGTCCCCACTAGCGGTATTTATAGTTGTGGGAGAAACGATATCTCCGGCGTAACCATGGATACGCCGAGTGGGAGGCCTGGAGAGCGGCTGTACCTCCGTCTCCTCCTCGTACACACAAACACACACGGTGTGTTTCCATGAGGACGAGCAAAACGCAGGCCTCATGCTTAGAAACACCTGAATGACCCAGCAGAACTCAGACCGCGATAAATCTGAAGAAATACTTCATTTATGTTCCTTTAAGGGTAAAACTAAAGTCGCCGTGTTCATAATGAGGCCTGGTGATGAGGACTCGCTGCTCATTGATCAACTTTGACTTTATATGGAATCAAATATATATAATACTACACAATGTTTAATTATATCTAGTTAACAGTGACTTTCTTAATATTTGTTTTTATTATACATTTTCCATTCACTTATTATTTTAGATTTATTTATATTATAATAATATCTGTAAATTGTTATAGTATAACTATTATGTTTATATAATATTTATATTATAAGTATCTTACAGACATACTTATATTATTATTATTATTATATTAGTGGTTAGTATTAAAGTCACTAATTATTATAATTTCTATGCCATCAGTGTCATACTATTTATCACTATTTATTAGTTATTAATTTTTAGGAGTTATAAAGTTATACTATTTTTCACATTTATTTAATGAATTTAATGTAATTTAGTTTTGTTATTAGAACTGCTCATTTGTATTAATATAATCAATATTACTATCATGTTTCTATATTACAGCTGCATTATTACTAATATAACTTTCATTTTCAGGTTCAGATGTCATTTTATTCAATTTTACATTTTATAACATTATTATTATTCATTCTTTATGATTATTCACATTCATTTTCTACTTGTATTAATTATTTTTTTAGATTATCCAATTTGTTTATGTTACTGTAATTATTTCAAATTCTATAACACTAATATTTCTCAATTCATATGCAACTACATAAATATAATTAAGCGAAATATTACAATTGCAAGTGTTAATAATTTGATATTCAGTAGATTTTTAATAAATTATAATTCATATAGTTTATCATTTATTACTATTAATCTGTTTTATTTCTTTTCAGTAAATCATAAATGCTTCTACATTTGAAATAATAATATATTACCGCCTTAAAGAAAAAAAACAAAACAGAAATGGATCTTCTAATTGTATTGCTTTAAAAATCCATGTTCCTATAATTCTGATTTTAATGCTATAATAAAAGTCACTGCCCTTATTATTGTTAGCATGACGTTTTTGTGACTATTAATTCGTTCTTGGCCTTATGAGGTTTAAACAGTCAAAATCAGCAACTTACTGACAATATGTTTCTAGTTTAAAGAAAAAAAAACCCTTCAGTCTCTATGATAAATCCTCTACAACTGCATAAAACAAAATAAAAAGAAACTGGACCACAACCAAAATGACTGGCTGGTGAGAGCAGCTCCAGCCCAGATTACAGAGCAGCTGCTGCTGCTTTCCTTTTCCACCTGAGCAGCGCTGTGACGGTGCAGAGTGCTGTAATTCTGGCAGGAAACTGGCCCGTTAAATAACCTGTAAAGAACATCCCGCCTCAGCCGTCTTCAACTGGTGCTTAAATACCAACTACCAATATAACTTCACTGCCTGTAAACCTTCTACTCAACATCCGTCCTGTTTCACTTCCTTCCTCTGAAGCTGCAAACGGAGACGAACCTCAACCTGCTCATCTTTCGACAACGACAAAGACGACGACTCACTTTCGTACAAACTTGGATGTGAACTTGCTGAAGATCCCCGTGGCCCCGTGGCCGCGCCGGGCCTGGCTGTTGCCGTGCGACAGGGACGGGGACGCGGGCCCGCCGGGGTAGGCGGAGCCCTGCTGGTCGCGGGCGCCGCGCTGCTGGCCCGCGTGGAAAGTGCTGCGGATGACCCCGCCTCTGGGGAAGTTGGTGCGGTCCGACACGGTCGAGCTGCTGATGTTGTGGGCAGACGGGGAGGCACCGGGCGGCCGCTGCGGTGCGGCACTGCAGAGGAGAAGAAGGGAAAAAAAAAAAAAAAAAAGAGGGGGGGGGGGAAAAAAAGGGAAAGTGGTGTGATAAGGGAGAAAAGTGGGAGGCGATGAACAGAATTTAGAGGTGAAAAACAAGGAAGACAAACAAGTTAGAAAAACACTGGAAATCCTTTCACTTTGGTTTTACAGTCAGTATTCTGATGAGGTCACGTCGGGTCAGCGACTCACTGGCACACAGTTTTGATCTTCAGTCTGAGGAAACTTTCACTCCAACACTGAGCTAAAGCTTATTAGCATGTGGAGGTCGGGATGCACAGATCCACTTCAGGCGCTTTTCCACTGGCACGTCGCGCTCCGACCGGTTAACGCGCGGTTCGGTTTTAACCAGGTAGTGAGCTTTTCTGTTAGACGCGCCGTTCCTCGTAACGGTGGGTGGGACGCGAGCGCAGCAGCTGTGGTCAACTCTCTGCTGACGGAGAACCTCGAGGTTCTGGTTCTGATGGACTAAACTAAACCCAGATATTTCATTTTGTCTCGGAAATTAATTGCTGGCCCAAACATAAAGACTGTTGCGCCATATTTACATTCTGGATCTTTATTTTTAAAATGTGCTACCTTTTGGACTTAGGTAATGCAGGCAGAAGGTACATATTTCAGAGCGGCTAGCTGGTAGCAGTTAGCTGCGCTGCTAACTCATGGTCAGTCTGATGCAAAACTTACTCCTAATTGAACTAAACTTAATTAATCTGACTGACAGACGGCTTGTCTACAGTCCAAAGCTAAGCACTGAAGGTTCTTTTTGAGTTTTCAGTGACGTAAATCAAGAGACAATCAATGATTGTGATCAGCTGTCAATCAAAATGGTTTTTGTGCCGTAGCCTGGTTGGTTCTGCTATCAGATTCTGAGCTCATGCGGGCCGAGCCGCGCTGGTTCTGCTAATGGAAAACGAATCTGACCGCGACGGACAGAGACCGTACCAGTCAGAGACGGTCTAGTGGAAAAGCGCCTCATTTCACGTCCGATACAGATATCTGGGGATTAGTATCGGCAAATATCGATTCGATACAGCAGAGCATTACTGAACTGACTTGAAATGTTTATTTTTAAAAGAGGAGCTTAAAGCACAAACACAAAGGACAAAGGAGCAGCAGTGAGCTGGAGATGAAGCCTCAATCACTCAAGACCAACAAAGAATAAAATATCTACATATAAGAAAATGTTTTGGAAACCTGGTGATTTTACAGAAACAAAAAAAAAAGTAAATAACACTTTTCCCACAGTAAAATTCAAGGTAGGTTTTCAAACTTTTCCAGCACCACACTTTGGCATTAAAAACTATAAAAATTCACTAAAAAGATTAAATATCATATAATTTATTACCGTTTGACTGGTCACATTATTACAAGACTTTGTTCTACAGCAGGAACAAAGAAAAATAAAATAGAATGAAATTAAACATCTCTGACATGCCCTGTAAGCTCCTGACTGGCCTGAGAATGAAACACTAATTTTATTTAACAAAAAAAAGTCCCTCAATTTTACTTATGTTTAATGTATAAAATATAATCCAACCTTTATTTCAATTATACAGACTAATAAGTCATTGAGATGTTTGGAATAACAAATGTTGATTACACTGAAACAATTCAAAAAAAGAAAATTTTTAAATACTTAAACATGATATACAAAGAAGCTTATGACAAAATCTCTGCCATTTAGCAAAGAAAAATAATTTTGGTAATTCTAACTAACCTAAAACAATTAAATTTTCGTCCATTTTAACTTCAGACAGCGAGGAAAAATATATTTTTTTAAAATATCTGGTTTCATCTGTAACATTTTCTAAATTTAAGCTTTTAATCAAACGTTAGATTGCACTTTATTAACAAAACTGTGCAGATTTAATATCAAGCACCTTAACTGACATTCAAACATTTTCAAGGATTTCAAGCACCTTAAATTACTCTAGCTAAATTAATCTTCTCAGCGGTTAGAGACTGAATAAAAACCATGTCTGATCATCTGGATCACCTCAGAGCGTTTCTGTGCCGCTCTCAGCTGCTTCACCCATCAGCCTCCCTGCCGTCGCCCATAACTACGGCTTTCTGCCAGAGACGGATTACATAACGAGTCTGAGAGCGAAGCAGTCCTCTCCAGCCCCCTCGACAAAACTTAGAGCTCAATCCAGAGCGGAGATCAAGAGAAGAACGTCAGCACATCAGTCAGCATCAGTTAGATGAAATGGAAAAAAATAAAACACTCGACGTAAACAACACAGGCTGGATCGGGGAGATTAGTTGAGTGGTTCTGTGAATGGAAATGATGCGATTTGGGTTAGATAATGTGTGTTAGCATCAAGAGAATCCGTGTCTCCAATGTGGCGTGGGCAGAGGTTAATGGAGCTGCAGCATCGTTTCTAATGCGGGCACAACTGCAGGTTTTCTTTGCAGTTAGCATCAAATTAACCTTCAGCTGATCCCGTCACAAGCAGACGGCACAAGAGCATCAGTAAAGACCCGACAGGGAAAACGTTTTAATAAAGCTCCTGCAACATCCTGAGTTACAACAAGCTGCTGCTGTGTCTCAATAACTTGCTGCAATTAATACGGTGTTGTTGTCGTTTCAGTCTTAATGCGACATTTTTATGCTGCAAACAAGTTTTTAAATTCGAAAAACTTTAAAAATTCAGATTTTCCTCACAGGTTTGCATCAACAGCTCTGTTATTATGATTACAGCAACGGCTGAAAATAGTTCCTGATTTAATCAACAACATTACTTTTTATTCTTTTTTTTTTCCTAGAATGTTTTTCCACCAAATGTCCTTTTTAGAGTCTGTATACTCCGATCATCAACTAATTTAGTAATTGATTAATCGTTAACTGGAGCATACAGACTCAAAAAAGGCCATGTGGTGGGGAAAAAACAGATCAAGTACCTGAATATGCTGCAATATGTTTATTTATTTTTTTATTAGTGGATTAATTTTAAGCGTATGAAATCACTGCTATAAAACTGTTATTTCTTTGCATGGAAAGTACTCCTGGCTCAATGTTTCTATTCACTTCATTTACTGGGTTTTCCTTTCCTGGCTCAGTAATTTATTTTCCTACAGTGTGTTCTCAGAGGAAATCTGAAAGTACTCCTGGTCCAGTGGTTTGTTTTGTGTGTGGATAATCTTCCTCTGGTTAAAATGAAGTATTTTCCCCCCCACAGTCGCCACATGTAAGGTCTTCGTTACTTAACTGAATTTGACAGAACTGTGTTTGAATTTATATCAAATTTGACTGTATGGTATTGAATATGAATCTGACTATTTTATTGTGCAGAAATAGATTAATCTGGATTTATTTAAACTAACTGGTTTCTTTATTGGATGTTATTTAAAGTGAATTGGAGCTAAATGTATAATTTAAGTCAACCTTGTTATAACCAGGTAGCTATCTGACTTTACAGACTTGCAACTCTTCTATACTTCCTGTTTTTTTGCAGCCACACAGCGTTTCCTCCTCCTTGACCCCGTTTAACCTCTCCAACCGTTCCCCAATTTCTTCAGATGCAGAAAACCCCGCAGGTTTTCGAAACGCTTCTCGAAGAAACCTTCGGTTTCAGATCAGCAGCTTTGAGGAAGAGGAAATAGCGCAGCTCTAAAAATGAGAGACAAATGAGCAGCTACCAGCTGCTGTGTTGACTGCAGGTGCAAAAATTAACACAAAGAGGAGGCGTTCTGGACACCCTGTGCACTTGGAGTCCCTTTTCACACAGAATATTTTTAATCTGGACGCGAGGAATTAAAAAATGAAGACAAATGTGCCTCAGTGTGAGGACTGCAGCCGGAGCAGCCGGCCAAAATTTGGGGAACACCAGGCTACGACCTGTAGCTCTCAACTTTTTCTTTTCTACATTTATTGAATATTTTATATAACAAAGCAAGCAAGTGATGTTATATTACACTAGATTAGCATTCAACAAACTAACAACTGAACAAATATAGGACAAAAATGGGAAAAAGACCTCAGCGCTAAGAATAATTTTCTTAATATCTCAGTAATTGACAATACAAGCGAGTCGTTCCAGTTCAGCTCTTTGTAATTTTGGTCAAAAATGCTAAACGATTGCCGCTTTAAAATAAAATGCTTGCTATTTTCATGCAATATATGTATGCAAAGCATTTCCAGAAAGAATGACACCAACCCAACAGAGTAAGGAATATCTTTGTTCATTATGTCACTTTTTTGACTTTTTGTTGCAAAATTTGTACTTTTTTTTGTTGTTGACACAATTGAATAAAATTTATTTAAAGTAAAAAATAAAATAAAAATGTATTGCTTTTGTGTAAAAGTTTAAGGATTTTCTTTATTTTTTTTCCAATAGTAAATGTTTTTAAAATATAAAGCTAATTTGTTTCATCACCAACTCTTTTCTCACTAATTTTTAAACATTTCCGCTGTTAATGCACATTGGTTTTTTTCTGCTTTGATGTGCAGTATGTCATTATTACTATTATTGTTATTGATCTATAAAGCTTCATATATATATTTGTTTTTAACACCAAAAACTTTATTTTTATGTGAACCCTTACACTCAAATGTCCCCTTTGTGTGACAATAAAGACTGTTTCGATTGTGATGCTGTTGAGGCTCCAATTAAATTTTGTTTAGTTGGACCAAAGGCTCTCAGGGTTGAAAGGTCGCTGACCTCTGGTTTAAGATTACACCTGCGCTTTTCAGCGGTCCATTTATGAGCAGAACTCCAGAGAAAAAGAAAAGTAACACAAGCTAAACTCCCTTTAAAATCAGTCAGAAAACGAGTCATTTTGGAAGCTTGTGGATGACTGGACAGGTCGTTACGGATGGGAGCGAGTTAGAGGCGCGGATTATGTTCTGCCTGTTGGTGAGTCGTGCTTCGGTCCGAGTGTCTGAGTGGTACCTTCTCTCCGGCGTTCCCAACCAGGTTCTGAACGGGCCGAGCTCAGGGCTGAAGGACGCATGCAACAGAACGAGACAGAACCACAGACAGCCAGAGGGCCACTTTGACATTCGCTCTGCAGGAAGTTTAACGCTGACATTTGAGCCAGCTGCACCCAAAGTGTTCGGGATCTCCCCGATCGGCGCCGGGAGTCACACTGGGCGGTGGTTTGGGGAAAATTAGAGGAAAAATATCAAAGTGGCCCTCAAGGAGACACACAGGGAGAGCGGGGAAGCGAGCCAACAGCGAGACAATGCAAGACACAGAAAGCGGGTAGCAAAGTCTGATTGGCGGTTCTTGTAATGGAGTTAAGATTTCCCAGGCAAATTTGTTTGAGATTAAGATGTATTGCAACAATTTTCACACAAATTAGAACAGAACAGAATATATTTTTAGAACAGAATATTTGTTTTATAGCCAGAAAAAAAGCTCTCTCTATACAAAAACAACATGTCAGTATTTAACAAGAATCTAAATGCATTTAGAAAAATCAAAAATAAATCAGTTGTAATAACTTCATGACATGATAAAGAGATGATTCATAGGTTAATTTGGGTGTGCTGAAAACAAGTCCTCTATAGTATGAAGATGTGACTATTTCAACCTGAAAATCTACCAACACTTCTTTATAAAATGTGCTGTGATACAGACTGCTACTGGAGATGCCGTCTGGATCTACAAAAACTCCTTGAAGAACCTTGTTTAATAAGAGCTGCAACATGCAATAATTTTCTTCTGCTATGTAGAAATAAAGATGTAATTTGTGTTTTAAAAAATGCCCATATTTTGAAATATAAGCTAAAATCCGAGTATAAAATCCACATCTGGACCAAAACCAGCCCTTAAATGTGTGGAGAAACGTCTTTTTCCTCCAATCACTATAATAAACAAGGCTTCCCGTTAGAGGCAGAGTGTGGAGAAAAACCTGCTCAGCTTGATCTGAGACGTGTGACTGCTCAGTTATGGTCTGACGAGTAAAAAGTGTGATTTGACAGCACCTGTTTAGCTGCAGAAAAAAAAAGAAGAAAAAAAAGCAAGCCATGTCAACATTCCCACGCTGGCACAGTTTTCTCAACTCGACTGTGTAGTTCCTGGCTGTTGCTAGGGAACCAGCGAGTCTGAGATGGCCAGTTTTAGAAAATGTGGAGATGCTGTAAACATGTAAAGTCACAACCGCTAACATGTTAGCTGCTAACTTGTAAAGATGAAGGTAAGAATGGTTATTTTTCAGCTTGTTTGCTCAACGATGAGGTTAAAGTTGACTGAAAACATGCTGAGATCGTTAGAGAAACAAAGTCTTCTCCCATCTTGACTCTGTGGTTGATGCAAGCAGAGCAGCAGGAAGAAGAACTGCTTTGATTGATAAAGTCATCAGTGAGGGGGAATTATTAGGGATGCACCGATCCGCTTTTTTCACTTCCGATATCTGAGGTGCAGTATTGGACGATACCAATCCGATACAGACAAAACAGCGCTGAACTGACTTAAAATGTTTCTTTAGACAGACGTAAATGTACTGAATTACAAATTTATTTGCCAACTCTGCACAAGAGTCCAATTTTTTTCAATGGGGATGCAAGTTATTGATTAATGAGTTAATCTGAAGTTGACTGATCTCATCGATCGAGTAATGCTTAATTATAAGAGGCCATTTTCTTAAAAACTTGAGTTTTCTCCAGTATCAAGAGAATCGACTGTCTGTCCGTAACATAAAGGTCTAAAGTTTTCATAATACTCCAAATTAAGAAAAAAAACATAATTCATCATACTTTCAGCTGCATTAGATACCGACTGAATAAAATTGTTATTTTCTCACCTTATTAATGACTTATTTCTCAAATATAATGTTTTTTAGGTTCCTGTTTCTTATTAAGGTGAAACTGTTTAAGTGTTTACATTTCAAAACAAAACTGCATAAAATGCATTTTGTGTCCAAAAGTGGAGTCTGTTTGGACCATGTCTCTTCACCATCCTGTTATTGCCCCACCATCTTTGTTCCTCTGTCAACTGGCTCCAGTGATGACCAGTGTTGCCCTCTACTGGATGGAGGCCAAACTGCAACACTAACAGAAAGATCTAAATGGGCGTTTTTAGTTAATGGACTGGAACAAATTTGAATCTAATGAACCAATAAAAGACAATTAATTGTTTGCATCCCTAACTGGGACCAATACAGATGTTACTATCGGATCGATGCATCTCCACAAAAATTATTAGCAGAGGGGGGCAAAAAAAAATAATAATTTGTCCCAAATTGTGTCAACATACGTCTTCATCTCTCCTCTTTGTCCTCTCCAGGAAGAGTGGTGTGAGGTAGAAAGGTGTGTGTTTGTGTGTCTGCGATGCAAAGACTTGCCTGGGCCGAGGTGCGTGCAGGTCAGAGGGGCATGGATGATTGGAGGAGGACAGGGACTTTTGGTGGCGGGGACGCGAGGACGTGGAGGAGAGGACGGCGGCAGCTGAGGCAGTGGAGGCTCGGGAGCCCGGAGTGTTTAGGCTGGCATGGGAGGGGAGGGAAGGAGGAAGAGGAAGAGGAGGAGGAGGAGGAACACCCCGCCCGGCGAAACACATCCAAACACATTCACACACACAGCATGGGGCGTTTGCACACACAAGCGGGCGGGGTTTGTGTGAGGGTGGGTGGGGAAGTGAGGTGGAGTATGGTTAGAGGCAGCATTTATTTTTAAAAATAAAAAAAAATGGGAAAAAAAAAAAAAAAAAAACAGGAAAGTGAGAAACAAATAAGTAGGGACAGGAGATGCATGCAACAAACACAGTTGGTCTTCATTTGTTTTCATCTGTGCGGTTCCACACAAAGAGAGAAACCACAATCAAACAGGTTTTTTTGTGCTTTCATCTTTTCACATAAAGAAAAACACAAAAGACCAACTTCTAGACGATTCAGAGCCGTCACACCAGAGGAAGGCAATTTATGGAGACAAAGAGAGACAGAAATGTGCAAAGCAATAAAACTCAAAACGTTGGGAGACAAAAACATCTATGTTTTACGGTCTATTGTGCCCACTGTTTGGGACTGCTGTGCACAAACTGAACAACCAATTTTGCTTCTCATCCAGAGCTTTCTAAAAAAAAATTATTCATACCCCTTGAAAACTTGTTCCAATCTTCTCCCATTAATGCAACACAATCACACAATCACAGGGCGTCTCAGTAGAAACGGCTAAACACAAATGGATCCAATTCGGTTTTAAGTTCCAATTTAACTCAACATTGTCACTAAAATCCATCACTTTGTGTTGCAATACCACAAGAAATCAGACAGAAATGCATTTTGTTGTTGTAATCAAACAAATGTGAAAAACTTCAAGGGTGGGCTTTTTGTACTTGGACTTTTATCGTAATGTTTTGTGGTACTAAAGTGATGACAAAAGATGTGATAGATTATAATGCATATTTTAGGCTTTTTCAGGGCACTGCCTACTTCAAAACGTGTGATTTACATCACCAAGCTGCACAAAGCAGCTTTGTTTAATCATATCTTTGAATTTACTGATATTTATTGATGCATTTTCGATCATACCATCGGTGTAGTTTTTTTATTTAAAATCAATCATTTAAATATATTAATATGGCAATAAATGACACCTCTATCAAGGGATATGAAAACTTTAGCAAGATCACATGTAAACGAACATAAACCAACATTTACTGATAAATATCTACTGCAAAAGCAACTAGCAGCAAGATTTGCCCAAGTGTTGCGTGATTGCACTGCCTAAGCTCTGACTGTGCTGCAGTATAGATTTAATCTGTGTTCACACTCCCATCAGGTCAAGCAGCAGATTAGGGCTGAAACGATTAATCCGATTCATAGGCATGAATCGATTATTGAAATAATCCTCAACTAATTTAGTAATCGAATAATTGTTAGCTGGAGTAGGCCATTTGCTGAAAATAAAGCATATTAAGAGTAGTAATTAAGTCAAAACTGTACAATAAATATATACATTTTGCATTTAAAATAAAAACATCTTTGTAAATATGTTTTAGCTCCTCAAGCTGCAGTTTTAGCTTCACCTGGTTTGCATTTACCAAAGAAATGCTGCATTATATTGCACTTTAGGCGATAAGATGTTTATTTTCTTAACTAAAAAATGAATTTAGTTGTTTATTTAGATCCTTTAATGCATTCCTAATATTGTATAAAAAAGGCTTAAGTGGTTAAATGAAATGTATAATTTTATTTTATCCGATTAATTGATTAATCATCAGAATAATCAACAGATTCAGACTCTCGACTTTGTAAACATTTTCTATTTCCATCTCTTTACCTTCCCTGTGTTAATTAGCAAGCTTGTCCAGATGCTACAAAGCTCTGCACATTACTGACAGCTCTAACTCTGTGTTAACATGGAGACAGAGTGAGAGAAAGAAGAACAAGAACACACACAGTGAGAGTACTGTGTGTGTTCTTGTTTTTTTTTTTCTCTCAGAGTGGTACCACAGGGAGACGGAGAAAGAGATCGTGAGAGAGAGAGACAGAGAGTGAGAGAGAGAGAGAGGCACAGTGACTGAAGGCAAACAACAAATGATTATTGCACAGAAAAAAGACGTAACAGTGAGGGGGAAATTCTCTCTTTCCGATATGGATTAGCAAGGCTGGCGATGGTAGAAACAAAGCACTGCTTTCATTTCTGGAGTCTTACACATCAGGACATAATAAAAGCTATCAGGTCTTTAAATAAAACTACATAAAGGAGAGAGAAATTAGTGGAGTTTGTTCAACCCTAATCCTTTCGTAAGATTTAAGAAGGAAACCAGCAACCAGGTGATATGAATTAAATGAATTTCATCAACGGCAATCTCGAAAGAGATTAGGAAGTTTTCAGCTCTAAAGTGTGCCGCCGCTGTGTTTTAACACAATGCCAGGCCGGAGAGGCATCAGCAATGGCTTCACTGCTATCAATCTGGGAAGGGTTATAAAGTGATTTACAGACAACTAAAGCTATGATCCAACAGCAGGTGTTGATGAGCAATTCTAATTTTTTGCAAAAATAAAATTTTTCATTTTAATAGTTGTTCATGCTACTAAATCAGACTTGTGTATGAATAGTTTGCGACCCAAAAGCGACGCGCACGTGAAGAAGAAGAACGTTGACGTCGCACAGCAGTGCATGTTTATGGGGGTAATAATGGACGTAGTGTTTGTGTATCGATTTAAAGTTTATTCAGCAACGATTCACAAAATCATGAAACAAAAGAAGCTAATAAAAGAAAAGAAAGCACAATAGCAGTGACCTCTTGTGGAGAATTGACTGCAGTTTTTATAGAGAAGTAGTGAGCACTATGACTGCAGTGACAGACTTCCTTCATATTTTTCATATTTATATTTTTCAGCTAGTCTTTACATCTGGATTTACCGCGTCTGGGTTCTAGCATTAGCTAGCATTAGCTTTTAAGCTAATTTTGTCTTCAAAACTAAAACGTTGTCTCAATGAACAGATCGGGTTTATAGAACATGCTAGTGTAAGCCAACATGATGAAAACAGTTAAGCCAACATGAGCTTTTTGGCTGCAAACACTTCAAAAACAATCAGATATATAACCGATTTAGTACCACATATAGAAGAGGCACAAATTGGACTTTTTGGGGTAGAAAATGTCAGAATTGATGTGGGTCCCATTTGCCTGCTGTGTGAACACAGCCATAAAGTCCAAGCTCCAGCTAGCATGTTAAACGGTCAAATTTGTGAACAGCACTTCCTCAATTAGAACAATTAGAAACAATTAGAAAAATGTAGTTTAGCTAGTAGAAAAATATGCACTATTGGATACTTGTGTGAATAGTTGCCAAGAAATTGACTATATCCAAGCTGGTTCTCCTAAATGGAGTTTAATTTAGTTTTAAACACATTCATTCTTGTTTCATATACAGAAAGTAAGCTGCTGCATATTTTTAATACAGCGGTTAGATTTAAATACCTTCAACACTTGATCATTTTATTAGGTCCTGATATGAAGGAAAAAAGCTAGAACTGAGAGTGGGTGTACTTTCGTTTTACCATGACTATGTTTAAAGCTGCGTAAGCCTATAAACACCGACCACACAAATTAAGGAGAGGGTTAATATTCCACTAGTGGTGCTAATCTCAAACAGAGAGCGAGGGAATGTAGAAATGGGGCGAAAGATTAATATTAAGACAAGGAGGACTAAAGGAAGCCAAGAAAGGAGGAGTCAGAGAAAAGTAAGACTCGGAGACCAGAGGGATAAGCGCTCAGACGAAGATAAAAAAACAACCAAATTAAGAACATTAGAAAAGTTGAGAGGGAGAATGAAGATGAGAGAGACAGTGGGAGGAGTAAGACAAGTAAAAAAATAATAAAAAAAAAAAAAGCCCAAACTTCAAAAGCATTAATGATAATCAAACAAATGCAACTTCAAAAACAAAGCAGATGATAACCCCACTGTGTTAGCAGAAACTAGCATAGCTAATTAGACCCACATGACTTTAAAAACACAAAGCAATGAGCTCTGAAATGAGCCCTTCATCACCAGGCAGCGCTGAATCAGAAGACAAAAATCTGTGGAAAATGTTTAGATGTGTCAGTCCCTGAGCACAGATTCAGCTCAATTTCTGCTACGGTAGATAAAGCGCTGCTGGCACTGAGAGGGGTCATTTGAGAACGACAACATGAACAGTAATAAAGCAGTTATGAACCATGACACCGTCGCAGTTGGGATTATGTTTTGGCTTAATGTTTGAAGCTCATGAGAAAGCACACAAAGCGTATGGCTGGTTAAGCATGAGCTGCGTGTGAGGACATGAGTGAGTTGGGAAATGGAAAATTTAATGACGATTTGGGCAAATATTTGCTTTCAATCATCAATTTGTAGTTCCAGTGCAGACAAAATACTTTTTTTTTTTGTCCAAACTGGAAAAGTCTGAAGCAACTGAGAAGGAAGAGTTTGAAGCGTGAGCTAAATTTAGAAGAGTAAAATGAGAGGGAGTATCCCAATCCCAGAGGAAGAACATGGGAAGCCGGTTTTATAGCCTAATATTACAGACTTGTGATTCCTTTTACCGTCCAGTTCCCTCGAACTGCCCGCTCTGACTGCCGGGCCTCCATGTCAGCATCATGGGGGAAATCTGTAATCTACTGGAGGTCTGGCCTAAATTCCCAGGAGGGCCTGATTTTGGAGTCCAGGAGGGCTTACCCCTCCCTGCGCCAGCTGGCAGCGCTCTGCGGAGCACCAGCCAAGGTCTGGGGATCAGTCAGCGACGTGGCTGAGGGGCGGCTTCATTCACAAACCGGTGTGAGCGCGCTCCTGCTCGGCGTGCAGCGGCGGGGAAATGGTACCAACTGCCTTTTGATCGCTGTATGCGGGTGTTTTTGTACCGTGGTCTGTCAGAAACCGTGTTGTTTTGCGAGCAAGCGGTGTGTTTGTGTACCTGTCCTTGCCGTTCTGGATGCCAGTGCCAAGCGTGGCTCTCTCAGCCAGCGGAGAGTTCCGGCTGCGGCTGGTACCGGTGGAGAGGATGCTATTCTGCAGACGGACAGAAGACAGAAACGTTAGAACCGGAGCGACTGCTCGTATTTCATGTCGGACTCTTATTTCCATATTGGGATACAATTCACTGAAACACACTGGAGGCTGCACTACAGTCATGCAGCTGATGACTGTAGTGCAGAGAAATACCAGTATGTCTACACTCGATACAATGCTTCTGTAAGCAGCTGGGCGTCTATTTTACGGCTGGACAATATGACTGAAAAACATGACGGTATAAGAGTTTCCTATCGGTCAGTATCAATAATTATTGATTGGTTTTTCATTTTAAATATATGAAATACTGCCAAATTGGTTGCGTGACCGTTTGGTTTTCACTCCACGTTGTTGTTTTCCATTTTTAAGCAGTCATGACGCATGGTGGTGAAACCTGAAACTGCTGCTGCGCAAGTTACTCAACTGGTTGTTGCTAGGCAACCAAAGGGTGGGCGAGTTGTTGCTAGGTAACCAAAGGCTGGGCGAGTTGGTTGATTCCACCAACCTACCTTAGCTGGTAGAGAGATGGCCAAAGCCTTTCCTCTGCCTACATCTCCCAGAATGCTGTGCAGTTCTGAATCAGAGTCCAGTGAAATGATTGAATATTCTACTGGACTGATATTGATCACGTGTCGATTGCAATATACATTGTTATTGATTTGCACTGGAAAGAACCACTGCTGCCAAAAACTCTCTGCTCTCTTCATAGAAAGTATGCATGGCCTTCTACTTTAGTTTCTCTTATTTTATCTACTCTGTTTGCTTTCCTTTCCCATAGAAAGTTTTTCTTTTTAGACAGAGCTGCCATTGCTGCCAGTAACATTTTGTCCTCTCTCTTTCTGAAGAAACTGTTCCTGGGTCATACCAGGCTCAGTGTTTTGTTCCAACGCTGCAGTCACTGGTTTTTTTTAGTAATCATTTATTCTATTGATTATTCTGACAATTTATCTGATAAATGAAACTGGCACTCTCTGCTGATTTTTTATTTAATAATTTAAGCTCATCTTTTACAATATAAAAATGGAAATAAATAATATTTTTTAAAGAAAAAAAAAAAATACATAAATATTATTGCCCAAAATGCTTGATCATTTTCAGGAAGGTAAAAAAGAATTCTGTGTGTGAAAAGCTCTGCCCTTTTTACTTGACTTATCGATACAGTTTAAGGTTGATATGTTGAATATTTTTCAAACAATTGGAAGTTTTAATTTTTTTTTTCTTACAGAATTTTAAAGTGCAACTTGAGGATTTATGGGTGGAACATATTTACAATTAAGGTTTTTCATCTTAAATGCAAAATGTTTGTATAATTGTAGGGTAATTACTGCTCCATCTGCTCTTTCACCTTTTTTTGAGTCACTTGATGATTTTATTACTAAATTAGCTGACAATTGTTTCAATAAGTGATTCATCATGATTAATCGTTTCAGCCCTACTTTGTTTTTAAGCTGTTTTATTCCCTGGCCATTGACAGAAACATAGAAAGTATTCCTGACTCAGTGCTTCTGTTTTTGTTCATTGTCTGCTTCCTGTGCTGATATTTGAATCTGTTTGTTTTCTTTTTAAAAGAAATTAATCCTCTAAAGTCTCACAACATGATTTATTAGACAACCATTTACCAACTAGCATTTTTTAATCAGAACGTGGACTGTATTTACATCTGAATGTGTTCATATGACTGGATTGCATTGGAATGAATTCAAAAAAATAAAAAAGACTTTAACTGGACACATTAAACATCCTGAATCCTTTTTCAGAAATAGTTTTTCACATTTTGTTGTAAAGTAGTAGAGTGGACATCTTAAGGTAGAAACGTTGAAGCAATTTTAAAGAAACAACAGAAAACATCTGTACTCTGGTTGTGCCGTTTAAGTAAAACACATGAATGAATAGATGTAGTGAATTTTTTTCGTTGTTTCATTAGAGCACAGCGTTTGGCGGGTCTTACAGTGGAAGGCGTGGCGCTCTTTTTACGATCCGATGAGACCAGAGGGCTGGCCCCCACCTTGGTGGTGGAGCTGCCTGACGAGCCTTTCCTCCCAGAATCCTCTGTTGTAGAGCGGTTGTCGGACTGACCTCCCCTCTTCGAGTAGGAGGAGCCTAGGAGAAGACAGAGTCGGCGTCAGACCTGCAGCTTGTTTGTCAAGGATCACACCGATTTATACTCAACTTAAATGTTTTCCACAACACGACTAAATGCATCTACAAAATAAATGCTTTACGCATAAAACTGGACAGAATAAAAACCAAAGGGACTCACAAAGATGAGCTAATTTGTTTTCCAAACAACCAGCTAGCTAAACCTGCTAATTTCCTGGTAATATTGTCCCAATTCACATTTCTCCCCTTCACACATTAACTTTAATGAACTCTGATAAAAAAACCAGCCTCACTCTGGTCAGTGGTTCTGCGGTTCTGAGGCTTCGGGTTGGACGACACGCTGCGCTGTACCTGTGAAGAGGGAACAAATCATGACGATGTTACAGTGAGATAATACTGTCAAACTATTGTGCTGCTGCTGTTTTTTTTTTTGTTTTTTTGACCAAACTGAAGTTCCTATGGGATGTCACAGGTGCAGGAAATGATTTGATGAAGTAAAAGCTAAGTAAAGAAAGACAGAAAATAATTTTAAAAATAATAAAATGTATGTAACTATGCCTGTCAAGATCAACTTTGCTGGACCTTAAATTGTCCCAGAAATTACTACGATAAATTATATTGTCATTTTTAACTATAGTTATTAAAGCACACCCTAAAATCGAAAAATTTAATTTCCAGAAAATATTTAACACAGAAACTGGAACACATTTTAAATATCCAAAATAAATAAACAAAACTATCAAACCATTAAATAAAATGGATTATAAATCGCAACAAAACATATTGATAAAAACACTTGGACAGGGAAAACAGGCAAAAAAAAAAGAAGCAAACCAACTACTTTGTACTGTGTCAAATGTTTGCAGCATTTTTTAAAATGGCAGTTTTTCACTAATATTAAAGATTACGCATCTCTTTAAAGATTAAGCTAATTACACAAATAAACATGCAAATGGAAATGATCAAGATTTACTGCAGATTTTTATAGAAAGAGCCACGGCCCACAGCCTCCGTGTCCCTTTAATGCCCATATATTCAGAAATTACAAAGAGGAAAGGTGTGATTTAGAGGTAAAAAATAAAATAGCAGCATTAATATGTGTATTTGTACCTTGTGAGGTGGAGAGGGGGCATTTATGTTGCTTAGATCATTTCCTGGCCTTGCTTTGAGGGGTAATTCATCCAGCTGAGGAGAAGGAAAAACATCATCAGGCACCGAGACACAAACACAAAAAGACTAATGGTGCTCTTATGTTTTTATGTAAATACTGAAAGGAGTTACTAAGTCACTCTATTACAAAACAAAACAGAGAACAGAGGGTTGGTGTGTGAGCATGAGAAGAGGTCAGTACCTCAGCGTTCCTATAGTCCAGAAGCAGGAACGTAGCCATCACTTCATTGTACTTCTGGTTCAGCAGAGAATCCTGGATCTCTTCTTGGGAATATCCCATCCGCAACATTTTCTCTGTAAACAACAACAGATCATTCATGATTAAAACGCTGTGCTCCTTGTGTAACCATAACCCTGTATGTGAAAAGGGGAATGAAGAATAGATGGGTGGATCTGCTACGTACCTGTTCTCCTGGGGTCTTTGTAATCTGGTAGAGGTTCGATGTAGGGTTTGAGTTCGTCCTCTTCGTAGCCCACATTCATCCAACGGTCCCTCATTATCTTCTGCTGGGGTAAAAAAAAAAAAAAAAGGGATAAAATAAGCTGCTGCATCCTAAGTGCACAATAGGGCGTTACCTCAGATCCTTCCTCCCAGTATCTGACAGATTTCATAACCATCACTGCTCCCAAAAAAACATGCGTTTAAATCCCTGTTATTTGCATTTTCACTCACCTAACACTATTGTTAATTGCACATCTCTGCAAAATCTTTAGTTTTATATGTTATATTCAATCTATTGTTTTTATTTATGCACAAATACACATGAACATTATGCATTTTTTTTTATTATGCTGCTCATTTTCACTTTCATTAGATCGGAGTACGGCATTTCTTGATTACGTTTAAGTTATAACCTTGTCCTTAATGTACAGAACATTTCCTAATTTGGCTTGTTTTTGTTTGTTTTTATATACGGGGTGGTTCTTACATTCTCCCCCTCCACAGTAAAATTCAAGCACTTTCAAGCATCTGTAAGGTAAGTCTCAAACTTTTTCTGCACCGCACTTTGGAGATTAAAAAAAAAAAAAAAAAAAAAATTAAAAAAAAAAATGGGGGGGAAAAATTCTTTAACCCCCACCCTGGCAAAAAATTATCAGGACCAAA